CTGGCCCTGCGATTGGGTGACCCTGGGAGCCTGCGGCCCCGCCGCCGCCCCGGTCCCGCCCCCTTGTCTCACTCCTTCCCCGGAGCGGGGTCCCCTCAAGTTGCCCGGGGGTCTCCCTGCCCACCAAGTAAACCCGGCAGTAGAGGGGCAAAAATAGGCTGCATGGAGGGGAGGAATTCTAAAATTATCCACTAAAGGACAGATAATCTGGAAGGCCCTCCAGACTGAAGTCCAGCCCCAAAAGTGAGGGGTCCTCAGTTACATTTCCCTCCGGAAATTGGTGTTTGCCGACCAGAAGAGGTGTCCTCATAGAAAAACTGCTGCGCTGGAGAGTTTAGAATGCTGAGGCCCAGTTCCTCTCCTAGAAAACAGGGCGAGAGGCTATGAGACAAGCGGAGTGAGAGAAGGAAAATCCCTACGCTGGAACCAAGAACTGCGGCGGATAGGACCCAAGATCCTGTTCATCACATGATTCCCAAAGGGAGCCTCTGTCATCCATCGTCCCCACCGCGGCCCACAATCGGCTGACAGATACCGAGAACCTACCTTGTGCCAGGCACCCTAGGTGCTGAAGGGCATCCCAAGGCCAATCCGCCAATGACTCCTTGCCATTCCCCTCTCCCACAAAGAAGCCACAAGGATGAAGTCCCGCTGTTCTTTCTGGCCACAGCCATCTTATTTAAAGACCCCCAAATCTGCTCCCTATAATAAAACTAATTTGAAGTGTCACCCTTTTTTTTGAGGGGGTGGGCAGTGGAATGGGAAAATACTGTATGTGATAGTGACTTCATAGGAACGTAGTGCCCTAAACTCGGCATTTGAACGACAGCTGCTAGTTAAAAAGCCGGAATAAGCACATTTGGTGGTCCCATGGTCACGTAGGGTAGCATCTCAGAATCTCTAGTAGCCCAAGGAGAAGTAACAGGCACACTATGTCACATGCTGCGTCCCCCATTTGAGGACACTTAGTCATAGCCTCTTAGGCCTTCAGCCTCAAGCCAAGCTGAGCGAGATGGAGAGACATCCGTGCACCTTCGAGGAAAGTGGGTACACCTTATCAATACCAGTAGGTCTGAGGGGTGCAGGCGTGAGACATTCTGAATGCCATCAAAACGATCATGGAGCCTCACTGTGAAGTGCTTTATTACGGCAAATCCCCACATCTGCTCCACGAGGTAGGTGCTATTAGAAATCCCACTTTATTTTTTTTCTTTTTCATACCTGGGATCAAACTCGGGCCCTTGCTCTTGCAAGGCAGGTGGCAGACTACTGAGCCGAATCCCCAGCCCTCCCACTTTACTCTCAAAACCTGAGGCACTGAAATTTTAGGAGGCCAAGATTGCAGGCAGGCATTAAGTGGCAGGGTCAGATCTCTTCATCGAATTTCACGCTCCAAGCCATTCAGCCATCAACCCCCTAACATGTCAAGTGCCCATGTAAAAATCCCAGAAGCCTATCCTATTCCCTCAGTGCCAACCAGCCCAACTAGCATCAGTGAAAGACCACCATGGAGGCAGCCCTCCGCCTTTTCCCTTTCCATATCCCTCCCTCACGCCCAGGAGAGAGGATGTATGCTGTCCCACTGTCTCACATTCTGGGCACATCCATCCCCTGCTGGCCTGTAAATATTATAGATAGTTAAGTTAGACAAAAGTATTACAAGCAATCAGACAAGGCTAGGTTCTCAAGAGAGTCAGGACAAACGATGAATACAATTCTGGCTGGAGGCACATCTGTCAAAAGCAGACCTCAAGATAAAGACCGAATGAGCAGGCCTACATGCCTCTCCAAGGGATAAGCGACACATGGAAGATTGTATTATAATTGGTATCACCTGGCCCAGTAAAATCCAGATAGACACCAGTCACCCAGGCAGGTGACCAGGACCTCCAGATCCACCCCTTCCTAAAAAGTTCCTTGTTCTTTCCACGTACGCTTGCTACGTTACCTGCTTCCCCACTGGATCAATATTACCTAATTGGCTAGACGTATAATCTTATTGGTTATCGCAGTTTTGACCCAACTGTTTCCGTCTTGTGATCCTGCTTTATGAAACTTTATCTGTGCAGTGGGATCGATGGCAACCCACTTTTGGGTCCCTTCCTGTCCTTCAGGAGCTATCTCTATCTCTCAATAAATGTTTCCTACTCTTAACCTGTTGTTCCTTAGAATTCATTCACTGATTTCAGACAACATGGGCTTGGCATATACAACATGTAGCGGGTTGGTAGTTATGTGATTTCCCCTATATATAAAATCCTAGAGGACAGGGACAGTCGATGAATAGTCTGTGAACACTTGCTGTGTGCTGGACCCAGAGGTAGGCTCTGTGCACTTTTGAAAGAGCTACCTCCTGAGTTCTCTGCTTCCCCCTGGAACTCATGCCCCTCCAGGCCCAGTAAGTCACAAGGAAGCCAAATCCTCCAACAAGGTCTATCTTAGGGAAGGAAGGGACCTGGTTTGGGGGAGGAGGATCCTAAAGAGTGAAACCACTTCCTGTGCAGCTAGTTCCTGTGTTGACAGAGCTGAAGGGGAGGCAGGGGTGGAGGGAGCAGAGGCAGGGATGGGGGGAGTACTGAGAATCCATAGATGAGAGAGCTGGAGTCCTTTTCCATCAGGAACCCCCTCCACCCCTGCAGTTGGAGTTTCTCCCAGTCTCTGTGCTCTCCTGGGGCAAGAAAGGTCAAACAAGCTGTTTGGGTGGGAAAAGAGAATGGAGGAAGTTGACAGAGATGGGCGGGGCTCTGGGGGGGGCTGACCAGGAACCCAGCTTCCTGCTCAGTACCCAGGCGTCCAGGCCCCCAGCTCACCCCCACCCCTTCCAGCCCCCATTCCCTC